CGCCGATGGGGCCAAGGACACGGAGGGCGACGCCGACGGGGGCCGCCTCGTCAGGCAGCGCCAAGAAGGAGGCAAAGACAGTAAGCTCAAGGGCGTCAACGACCAGGGGCTTCGCCTGGTCCTGCTCGTGATGGTCAAGCAGCTCCTGAAGGTCGCGCAAGGGATGCGCGAGCTCGGCGGATGCCTATTCGACACTTTGCTCTGCCAGTCCGACGGGGTCGAGGCGCTGAAGATGACGGAGCAGATACACAAACTACTCGGAGGCTGTGAAGAAGGACGGGACAGGCCACGCTCACGGAGCCCCCAACATCTGGGCGTTCGCGGGGCTGATAGCGGGATTGAAGGAAGGAGGCGATGCCGTGGGCGGCCTGAACGCCAAGATGATTCAGGAGATCTGGGACTGGCTCGACGCTCACTCGGTCGATGACAAGATGGAGATGATTCGCATGTGCCGTCTGGATAAAATGTACGACAAAGAAAAAAGAGGATCACCTTCGTGCTGCGCGACGAGCGGTGGCGCCAAACGGTGATCCAGAGCTGCGTTCAAATGGGGATGAACCGCAAGCAGGGGAAATCTCCCGCGTCCTTCATGGGGCGCGAGCTGCAGGAGTACGTCACGCAGCTGGTGCAGTGAGACTTCGACGGGCGCGAGAACCAACAGAAGCTGATGTACCTGCTTGTGTACGCGAGCCTGCTGAATCGATGCTTGAGCCTGCTGGAACAAGCACCCTTGCTGCAACTCTGCCTTTCGGCAGCCCCGCCGCTTCGCAAAGTGTTTTGCCTGAGAATGTATCTCCCCCTCTCTCTCCCGCTTCGACCTCGGTGCCTCCTGGGACCCTTCCTCACCCGATTCGAGCCGCGTCCTGCAGTGGCGCCGTGGTCCTCGCCTCGTCTTCCGCCTCCCCAACTCCGATGGGTACCCAAGGGACTTCGGCGTTCCCCGCCAAAGCCGCGGACACCCCTGTGGGACCGTCGACTCCTGAGGCACTTTTGATTTCTCTTGGGACCGAGCGGGGCTCTCCTCGCTGGAACACTCTGATTAATAGCGATAGGTTGCGCTCGAGGTTGAAACGCAGGAGGCACTAATTCGTTCCTCCAGTCGGCCAGAACTCTCGAGTCGGTCGGCGGGGCAAGCCGCTAGTCACTGCCTGCCGGCCTCTGGTTCGGCCCCCCTCGCCCTGCGTTTCGCTGGTCGTCTCGGCCGAAGTCACCGCACGCCGCCTCTCAGTTGAGTCTGTGTATTTCAGAGTGTTGTTGAATTCCGAGCCCTCGACAGAAGCCTTGCTGAACCTCCTTTGGCAACACAAAAACAACACAACATAGGGGCCAGCGGCGCTGAATGGAAATTCATCATCATCATCATCATCATCATCATCATCATCATCATCATCATCATCGTCATCGCCATCATCATCATTACCACCACCACCACCAACACCAGCATCATCATCATCATCCTCCTCATCATCATTACCATCACCATGAGCATCAGCATCACAATCACAATCCTCCTCCTCAGCATTATCCTCATCATCACCAGCATCCTCATCCTCATCCTCATCCTCCGCATCAGTATCATAAGCAGCATTATCACCATCATCGTCATCGACTTCATCGTCATTATCATCACCATCATCGTCATCATCACCATATCGTCACCATTCGCATGATGATGCGGATGCTGATGATGATGGTTGTGATGCTGCTGTTGATGATCGTGGTGGTCATGATGATGTTGATGATGATGTTGATGATGATGATGATGTGCTGATGATGATGAGGATGGTGGTGATGATGATGCTGCTGAGAATGCAGCGTGCTCACGACAGGCCTCAGGTACCCAAGATGTCCACAGAGGCCCCCAAGAATCCCCCGAGAGGACACCAAGAGATCCAAAGGACCATCCAACGAAACATTACAAAACAACTCAACGATCACGCGATGATACGGCCACGCCACGCTCCAACATCGGAGGGTGCTATGAGCTCCATACAGGAATATGTTTCGTAAGATTCTTTGTGGCTTGAACTGGTGCCACTACGTTATTGACCCACGAAGCCAGGCACGGCGGATGGATCTATTCGATCAACCACATCTGGGGGAGCTGTGTTCCTGACCCCCATCCAGGAAATCAATCGAACCGACGATCCCTCTCCAGAGGGGCAGGGTCAAATCTAACAGGGGAATCGGACCGAATCGAAAGGTGCGTCGGACCGGGTTGCATCGGCACAGAGTCGGTATCGAATCGGATCGGCTGAGCCAGGATGCACCACAACGTCATATAGATACCGGGCAACATCGGATCGACTGGATATCGGAATCGAGTCGGATCGGGCCGAATTCAATGTAGAATCGGACCGATCGGATTGAAGTGGACCTTGGAGATATCTCGAAGCCGATGGGGTAATTACCCTAGGGGGCATGACGACCAAAACTCCCCCAATGGTGGCTGGTCTGTAGAGATGCCTCCCGCGACGATGGCACCGGCGACGACGACGACAGAAACCGACGACGTCCACGGCGACGAGGATGACCAGGGCGACGACGACGACCACCGCGGCGACGGCCGCGGCGCCGACGCCGACGCCTCCGCCGCCACCACCGACGCCGACGCCAACGCCGCCGACTCCGACGCCGACGCCGACGCCGACGCCGACGCCGAAGTCGACAACGACGACGACGACGCCGACGCCGACGCCGACGACGACGACGACGTTGGCGGCGGCGGTGGCAGCGATGACGTGGGGCAGAGTCCTCAAGGATGCTTCGTGGGGCATCTTCGGAACGCGCTCGGTGTCCTCCGAGTGGCAGTTTGGTGGCCTTTTTTGGCAGCTTCAGGGCCTCCTGGGAGCTTCTTGGAGGCCTCTTGGGGGCCTCTCGTGGTCTCGTGGCCTCGTGGCGGTTTCCACGGCGACGGAGCGGCCCGCCGCCGCCGCAGGGCGATCCTCCATCTGGGACTCGGGGCACGCGCACTGGGCGCGGAAGTACTGGTATTTGCAGCGGGTGTCCTTGGCGGCTGCGGCCCCCCGGCCCCCTCCCTCCCCGTCTTGTGGTTCCTCCTCCTCCTCCCCCTTCCTCCTCCTCCTCCTCCTTCCTACTTCTCCTCCTCCTCCTCCTCCTCCTCCTCCTCTCCCTTCCTCCTCCTCCTCCTCCTCCTGCTCCTGTTCCTGTTCCTGCTCCTGTTCCTGCTCCTGTTCCTGTTCCTCCTCCTCCTCCTCCTCCTCCTCCTCCTCCTCCTCCTCCCCCTTTCCTCCTCCTCCCCCTTCCTCCCCCTTCCTCCTCCTCCTCCTCCTCCTCCTCCTCCTCCTCCTCCTTCTCTCATCCCTCCAATCTCCTGCGTCATCCTCGCTTCTCCCTCCTCCTCTTTCCCCTCCTCCCCCTCGCCCCTCTTCCCCTTTCTCCTCCTCGTCCCCCTCCTCCCTCCTCCTCCTCCGCCTACTCCTCCTCCTCCTCCTCCTCCTGGTGGCTAAACGGCTTCAGGACGATCTCATCACCCTTGCTCAATGGAGTGGAGACGCACATGGGATCTGGGAGCGGGTCGGGGGCTCTATCATTAAGCTATTCGAGTTTGAGAATGCTCGTGATTTTGTTCAGGTTGATGTGGGTATTCTTCGTAGCGCAGCCCAGACCCTCGAAGTACCTCCCCCTGGAGTCATTGAGGATTTTGAGGCCCTCGAAGCGGCGGCCCTGAACACAGAGTTCCCACATACCTGTCCCTGGCCCTCGTGCACGTCGTCGTTTTCCTCCAGGTCTGGGCTCGTGAACCACATCAGGCGCATCCACGGGACCGTCAAACTCTCTCAGGCCCTTACCAAATGTAATCAATGCATCGTCTGCCAGGAGACCTTCTGGGACCGAAAAACTGCGCAAAAACACCTGCACGGGTCCATCCTCCACGGCAGGTGCCTGAAAGGTAAGGCGACGACCCTTCGAGAGGTGCAGCCCCCTGAGGATCTTGCGTGTCGAGTCTGCGGCTCAAGTTTCCTGACGCTGGCTGAGTGTAACCTTCACGCTCAGCTACACCTACCTGCCCAGCCCGAGGTTTGTGATGTCCGAGGCCATGGAGCTGGAAATCCACGACGCCCCCGCGTGGCTGTTCCCACTGGGCAAGCGCAAGGGCGAGGGCGATGGCGGACAGGCCTCGAAGACGTTGGTCGTCGCGACTGGGGGTGCGGGAGGGGGCCGTGGAAGCGGCGACGGGCACGGTCGAGGTCACACGGACGCGACGGACGGCATCGACATGGCGACCTTCAAGTGGGTGGCGCGCCAGACCTTGGCCAACTCCCGAGCCATCGCCGATCTCGAGGCCAACGTAAACGACACCTTTCTTCTGGCCGAGGAGACGTGGCTGGCCAAGGCAGGCCTGCTAGCGAACGCGCAGTACACCAAGGCCGCCGCCGACCTCAAAGCCAAGGCCGCCTCAGACCCGCAGGTCGACACCTCGAGCCTCGGCCCGCCGTTCTTGGTCGTCTTCTTTCTCGTGATGTCGGAGATCCGCAAGCAGGCCGCGACGGGGATTCACAAGGAGGAGGTGGAGGCGTTCTGGCAGACGCACATCAAGGACAAGACGCCCGCCGAGCTCGCCATGATGGTCCGCACGATGTCGTTCCAGCAGCCCCGGGGCGAGAAGAGCAAGCGCATGGAGAAGATGGTCAAGCTGCGCCTTCACATCCTCACGGACACGGAGGGCGGTCGCAAGCTCAGCACCCTGATCTACCGCACGCTGTGCGAGCTGAACGCGCAGAAGCTGGTCGGGTCCGCGCCGCGGAGCCAGGGCGAGAGGGCAATCCAGAAGTGGCTTTCACGTTCGAAGTAGTGGACTGGAACGGCGAGATCATGAACTCCACATCGCCGATACCCCAGTTGTTGAGTGGCTCCTGTGATTCGGCTGGTGAATCTATGGCTGCATCATCTGGTGGTATGGCAACATCCACTTCGCAGTTGCCTACGATACCTCCGTTTTTGAATGGCTCTGATTCGGTACGTGAATCTGTGGCTGTGCTTTCTGGTGGTATTCCAACACCCTCTTCGCAGTTGCCTACGATACCTCAAAGTTTGAATGGCTCTGATTCTGCTGGACCTTCTGTGGCCGTGCCTTTTGGTGGTATTCGGACATCGACTTCGCAGTTGCCACAGATACCTCAGGTTTTGAATGGCTCTGATTCCAGCAGATTCTCAGTGCGAGCTACCGCGTCGAGTACAGCTACTCCTGAGGCGGGTGACGCTGCCGCTGCCGCCGCACCTAGCTTTTCCTCCTCTTCCTCCTTCTTCTTGGGTACCTCGTCGCCCTCTCAACCCTCCCCGCTCCAGCTTCCCCCGATGCTTGCCTCGTCTGCTCGCCTCGCCGCTCTCGTGTCTAGAAGTCTCGTCCGAGACATCCGTGCCACTGGAGGAGATCGGTTTGTGGGGAGTGTGGGTGGGTCGGAGGCGGGTGGGGAGGGAGAGGCTGACAGGCTCTCGGCCGCCGCCGCAGATCGCGCAGTTGGACGCGACGACTCGGTGGCCGAGGTCAGGCGCGCCCGACCGCCTCCGAAGAGGGGGGTCCCGTCGCGTCGCCGTGCAGGAAACTAGTCTACTGGTGCCCGCAGGCACCCCTTGGAGGGCAATCCCTCCCCACAGGGGCTTGCCTCGGGGCCCGACGGGGGCCCTCCCTCCTGCGGAGGCCTCTCGTTTCAAAATCACGGATGTTTTCACGGCCACGCTGCCGTCGCAGGGATGAGTTTTATCCAGGGTGAGCCTGCTCAGGTAGGCCTTTGACTGATAGCTTGACAACGTCCCCAGCGGTTCAGATCAGATCAGATCCTCCTCCTGGTTCTCCTCCTGCCTGCTTATGTTCCTCCCCTCCTTCTCCAATATCATTCGTCGTCCTCCCTATGTGTTTCTCCTCTTCCCCCTCCTGCCCCTCCCTCCACCTCCCCTTCATCCTTTTCTTCCCCCTCCCCCTCCTGCTCCTCATCCTCCTGCTCCTCCTGCTCCTCCCTCCTCCTCCTCCTCCTCGTCGTCGTCCTCCTCCCCCTCTTCCTCCAACCCTCCGTTTCTCCTCCTCCCTTTCCTCGTCCTCCCTTTCCTCCTCCTCCTCCTCCTCCTCCTCCTCCTCGTCATCATCATCATCTTCCCCTCCCCCTCCCCCTTTTCCTCCATTCCTTGCCCTTATTAATAATTTCGGCCTGCCGCACCCCGAGGCAAGTGTTTAGGGCGGGCCAGGCGCGCCGCCTGATACTTCCTCTTCATTTACGACCCTGAAGCGTAAACTTAACGACAACTTCACATATGGAGGGCGGGTCGTTTTCAAAATGTGGCTCTCGCTTTAGTGTCGCGCACATTCGTCGTAACGTTTTGCAAGAGCTTCACGGATTGAAAGCGGATCGTTTTCAAAATGTGGTTCTCGCCTTAGCGCCTCGCGCATTCGTTTAAACCACTGCCAAGGTTTCGCGGATTGCAAGCGACCCGTTTTGAACATGTGGACTCGTCTTAGCGCCGCGCACATCAATGTGACAAGAGTTTTACGCATTGAGGGCGACCCGTTTTCAACATGTGGCTCTCGCCTTAGCGCCGCGCACATGCGTTTTAAACATTTGCCAGAATATCACGGATTGTTGGCAGGTCCTTTTCAAAATGTGGCTCTCGCCTCAGCGCCGAGCGCCGCGCACATTCGTTTCAACATTTACAAGAGTTTCACGGGTTCCCATGATCAGCGTATTGTTTTGCAAGGACTCAGGACTGAGGGTGCAACAGTTACGTGGATTCGCGGCGTTGCAGTCCCAGGAATGGCTTTCTGGCGCGATCCTGGATCGTCAAGACGCAATAATCAGGTCGATCCGTGGCGTTGGGATCCTGAGAACACTGTGCTGGCATGCTTCAGGGTCTTCCAACCCTTGTCTTCCAACGAGGCAGTTCCATCTGTGGTAATGAACCGTTGTATGGGGTCTATGTAGAGGAAGCTTGGAGGGATGTTTTATTCCAACATCGTTGGTGCCTCTTGGGTTTGCACTGGTCCTCCTCCGTCTCCTTCTCCTCCTCCTCCTCCTCCTCCTCCTCCTCCTCCTCCTCCTCCCCCTCTCCCAACTCCTCCCTGTCGCACTTCAAGACGTGTCGGTAGGGCGGTCCGGGCGATCCGCCGGAGCCCCCCTCACCATGCATGATCCCGGATCTAGAAATTTGAAACAGCTTCAAAGATGGAGGGCGGGTCTCTCGCCTTAGCGCAGAGCACACTCGTCTTCAAAGCTTGCAGCAGTTTCAAGGATTTGTTGTTTTCAAGTCCCAGAACTGAAGTCCCAGAACTGGTGTTCGCGTTGGAGTCCCAGGAATGGCATGCTGGCACGATCTAGGATGGCCAGGACGCAAAAGGCGGTATTAAATTCCCAGGCATGGTGATCAACTCTTGTGGAAACCTGTGACGAGAGAACGTGGTGGGAGGGTGGATCGCAACATAGAGGATACGTCTCGGGTTTGCACTGGTCCTCCTCCTCCTCCTCCTCCTCCTCCGTGCTCTGCTTCTCCTACGACTCCTCCTTCTCCCCCTTCTCCCTCCCCCTCCTCTCCTCCCTTCTGGGAAGGAGGCGGCCGCGGAAGGGCGCAAGCGAGACACCCGCTGAGGTCATGCAGAGCTTCGCGAGCAACCGCCATCGTACTACAGCCAACGCGCGCGATAAGGATGCGCGGCAAGGGTGTATAAAACGACGCGAAGACCGAGACAAAATCGGATCGGGATAACTCGAAATCTCTGAGAATCGGCGGGTTTGGAGGATGTATTGGGCGCCGCGGCCGCTCCAGAGCGTTCCGGAACGCTCTGAGAGCGCTCCGGAACGCTCTGGAGCGATTTATCCCGATCCTAGCTCTGTTTTAGTGTAACCCCGCGGGTGCCCCAGCTGAAGCTTCTTGAGCGAAGGGTTGGCCAGGAATGGGCCGGAGAGGCAATGATGCGAGGGTGCCCCTGGGAATCTCATTCCCTGACTATGCTTGCTCACTGTGCGCCGTAGCCACGTCCCGCGTCGCATGATTGCGAACAAATCGTCGCGAGATTGCCTGCAGACAGGGCTGCATGCAAGGCGTGCATCCGTGGCGCATGTCCGTAAACCCTCAGAGACTCGAATCTAGGGGCCTTTCGACGCGTTCTGGAGCCACGCGTAACAAGACACTGCGCAATCACAACGGCGGCCCTACCGCCCCGCCCCCGCAAATCCACTTAAAACCGGTCTCTACACCCCTCCCGGGATCCAATCCATCCTGACCCGTATCCCAGGACGGACCCAGCCGTGGCAACGACCGGCCTTCAGGAGGGCCCAACCGACGACGTGCTTTTGTCCAACGCGCGGCCCCCAGAGGCCCCGACCCGCTTTGGCGGGGACAGCAAGCGACCACAACCACATCGACGACACATCCCGGGGAATGTCTTGCGCATGCCAAAGTATGTCGGAACACCGAAATTGGCTTCGTACTGGTTGTGGTCGGTTCGGCGTCCCAAGACGGCCAAATCGACCACACCCACAACCAACATGCTCGTGTCGAGGTCGGTGGGGTTCTCCCTCGAGGGGGCCCTCCCGAACAGTCTGCTTGGCTGTGGTTGTGGTCCCCTGTTGTGCCCCGGCTTTCTTCGAGGCCGAAGCCAGCCGTGGCGACGAGAAGCCTCCAGGAATCCAGCAGGGATGAACGCGGCCCAACGAGGACCGCCGTGGTTTCGACATGGCCCACTGAAGGGGCCCTGGGACACAAACAAATACCCACAAATAAAAGGATTCCCCATATTTTCTCATATTTTCCGGGTTTTTGTCTCCCCCCCACTTCCCATAACAAATCCGCCGACCCTGTCGGCGTGTGTGAGGGGCTTTTCCGTTCGAGCCGTCATCTCCGTTATTCTTTGTACTCGTCGTCTCTGTCCTTCCCTTTCCCTGGGACTCCTCTTCCCCTGGGCTCCAGCCAAGCCGACCTTGAGCAACGTCGTAATTCAGTCGAAGGGAAGCCCCTTCCCTTTGATCCCTCCCCCGCCGGGAGGGGGGGGGGGTAGCGACCCCCCCCCCGGGTCAGATACGACGCCCCCCCCCGTACCGACCTTGAGCAACGTCGTAATTGAGTCGAAGGGAAGCCCCTTCCCTTTCCCTTCCCCGACGGGGGGGGGAGGGGGGGTCCCGGGGGGGGTCCCAGGGGAGTCCCGGGGAAGTCCCGGGTCAGATACGACACCTCCCTCCCCCACCTTCTCGTCCTTCTCCCCGTTCCCCAAAACCATCCCACAGCCCGTGCCTCTTGCTGCGCATTGCGAACAGGGTCGGCGGCACCGGCCGTAAGGCCTTCGCAATAAAAGGATTCCCCATATTTCCTCATATTTTCTGGGTTTTTGTCTCCCCCCCACTTCCCATATTCTCCCATATTTTCTTGGGGATCGACGATTAATTGTGTCTGTGTTTTTTTTTTTTCCCTCCTGACCCACCTCCGACCCTGGTCCCCACGGTTTTCGGGCCATTTCTCGGGCCCCTGGCGGCCGTTCGGGACGACCCCGGCACATGGGGAGCGCTCCTGACGAGGCGCAGCTGCTGGAAGTCACACCGATGCCAGAAAAGCCTCAGACGTCCGCAAACCTCGAAGCAAAGGCCCCAGCAAGAAACACGCTGAAGAAACACGCTGTTTTGAGCAGGGACCGGCCGTCCCGGGATTCCTACAGGCCTACCACGAAGTGTCCTTCAAACAAAATAATGTTCTTATAACACAAACAATGCTCTTATAGCATGAAATAATGCAACCAAGACGGGTCTCAACCAAACATGTTCTAAGAACATTTCGTGCGACCCCCAAAGGTTCATTGAACATCTGCCACCGTGCCGCTGGGCACGGAGTGGGCGTGTCCTCAAGTCCTTTGCCCAATCCTCTAAGCCTCAACCCTCACTGCTGAGCAGTCTGCAAAGGGCCCAGACCCCAAAGTCTCAAATCTCCTGGGGCTTGTCGCATTTCCCCGTGGCTTGTCGCATGACTTGTGCGGGCCCCGGAGGGCTCCAAGACGGGCCAAGAGAGCCTCAAGAGACCCCCAAAATGGTCTCAGAGTGCTCCGAGTCGCCGAAAGGTCACTCCAAGAC